GTTGAACAAGGTCACCAAGAATACAAAGGGACCTAGAGACCTCTGCATCTACTACAGTCCTTCAGGAGTAGATTCCCACCCCTATAGTGTCATTCACAGGTCCAGAAGAAATATGAACCACTTACTGAAAATACACACTAGACACTGCATCCTGTAGCACCATCACATAGAGTAACTGAGCACACAAAAGGTTTTAGAGCCTCCAGTCCCTTCTGGAGTCCTGACTTTAAAATCCAATGACTGTGTCTGAGAATTCTGAAGTTTGGCACCGACTCTAAAAGCAATTGTCCACATTATAGAAAACATACTCAAAAACAGCACACTGCACTAAAATTTATGAACCATGAAGGGGGAGAGAAATTACGACAGTGTAATAAAGCATCAGCACTGAATTAGTAAAATGATATATTTTATTAGACTACTGAGTGTTCAGAAATATAGTAAACATTCATCCTTTCAAAATTCTTTAGGCATGAATATTCAGAGCAAAAGTACAATAAAGATCTAAAGTTCTTTCAGGTCCTGGTGTGTCATTGCTCATCCCATGACAACAAATACTGCCAAAGATTCATTCTGCTGCATCAACATACTTTTACATCTAGAGTTGGTAAGCATATTTCAAATTTGTGGGCATCAGAATGAAGTTCTGGCCAGCATTAATTTTCTTCATACCCTAACAATTTGGCCTCTGGAATTTATCCAGGCACTCTAATCTGCACAAAATGATCTTTATCTAAGCTTGAGTTCCACTCTGCCTTGTGATCCCAGATGGATATAGGCTGCCTCATCAAGAGCAATGGGAACCGTGAAACACATCTGTATCATGCACAGCTCCTTTGTACAACTGGAAAACATATTCAGCCATTTTAGCATCTGTCTCTACCATCTCAGACTTAAGATATTTAATAAGCTGGAGCATCCTCAAAGAAGATACAGACAGTCAACTTAACAAAGTAAGCTCCTTCCTCAAGGTTGTTTTTGCCTTCAGTAATTGTTACTGCATAGTCATCTTTTCTCCCTGAGCACTATGTTAAAGGACAGTTTTCAGCTAAGAAATAATTGTTCTGCAATATATCACACAACTCCAGGCAGATATATTCAAGTAGGACCATACAACTGATGAGATGGTGACATACAAAAAATCTAAAAAGGTTAAGTACTCAAAAGATTTTAAAAACACCTTAGCCTTATACACTAAAAGCTGCAATTCTTTCAATGTGCAGTATCATCATATTTTGTTAAGAGAAGCACTTAATTCAAATTAACAGCCATATCTTCAGATCAAAATAGAACAATAAATATAGATAGTACGTAAGTACGGTACTTTATTCAGCACTTTATTCAAACTTAATGGAAAATAAGACACCTAACAAGCATTGGCTCTCTTCACACATTAGAATGCTGAACCATTTGGTGCTACACCAACAAATATTCTGTTTCCTCACACACCAATTCAATAAATTAGTCTCTCAACAACTGCAGAACCCTGAAATGCCTTTCCACTGGAGAGGCAAGAATGTGGCGCCCAGGTGACTGCCATGGGTTAAGAGAACAGCTGAAAATCAGGTTAAAACAGCTCAGTTGAGTGGGCATTTGGATACAATTTATCAGGCAGTGATAAGAGATGTGAACATATGCTAGAGCTTTTCTGAGTTTCCCTCCCAGCTTTTGCCCCCCCAAATGCTTTTGAAAAGAGCATTTTATAAGCTGTTTGGGTATTCAGTAATGAAAGCTGCTGAAAGGGAAACTGCAAGTACTCCAGAAACAACTTTCAGTACCTGTGCATAAATCATTAGATACTGTACCTATCTTTAATTAAAACTTTGCAGTACATTATTACCAGAAGACTCCCCAATACCATCTGAGCGGTAAGTTGCAATGTATCAACTAAGAGATGGCTTTGAAAATGTTAGGTGAAGAGAGGCTACGACAACTATAGCAAGAATTATAAAGAAAACAGGCCTTTTCACTTTTTGTTTTATAATTTCTCTGTGATACAATATTCTCTGCACAAGTCCCCAGGAAAGCAGAGTTATAGCTGAAGTAAATAGCATAGATATGCAACAGGAACAGGCAACCGGCGATGTACAGGCAGAAGTACTACTGACATGCCTGGACCCCCCCCAAGCTGTTTTTAGAACCTTAAAGGTTCTGGTTTTGTAATGATTTCCATCATCCTTGTTCCGTAGATACGGTAAGTTTGAAAAAGTGAAGACAATTACGTTACTAGGATTACAAAGGTGTGAGTAAAGGAGGTCTTGTAATAATCTTAGGGACCTACCAGAGAAAATAGTGTCCTGCAACCATTGTTTGATAGCTTTAAAAGCGAGAAGTTATGAACATTTGAAGTTGCCACATCAGTCTAACTGGGAAGTCCTAAAGTGCCTTGTGTACACCTACACAAGACTGGAGTGGATTTACACCACTGGATAGCTCAGTTGGTCAGAGCATGGTGCTGATAATGCCACAGTCACAGGTTCAATTCGCACATGGGACAGCTGCAGATTCCTGCATGGCAAGAGGCTGGACTAGATCATTCTTTCAGTCATTTCTTACTCTATGATTCTATGAAGAATATTTTATCCATTCAAAACTGTGAAAACTTTCCCACAAGACATTGTGTGTACCTAGTCCCAATCCGATGAGTCTGAGATATACACAACCCTATCAAGTAGAACTGCCATGCAAACATACAGGAACACATTGTTAACACCCCTCTTTCTGCAGTTATACCCATCCTACAAAATTTAACATGAATCTGTCTTCTGTCAGTTTCTTATTTAATCACGCTTAGCACCTTCCTCCGCATAAGTGATTCTTTACTTCCATGACATCTCAGGCCCCCTTGTAACTATAGAAAGCCTCTGTGACCTCAGACAAATTACCTAGTTCAAGGCAGCATCAGGAGAGCAAGCCAGCTAATCTAAAGACAAGCATCTGGCTAAAAACTAAATGTTGTTAATAATATAAATTTCCAAGCTATGAAAATAAGACTTGTATAGAGAACACTGTTATACTGTAGCAAATTTATAAACAAAATGTGAAAAACTGTTTCTTTCTTTGACAGACGTAAAATCACCTACATCAAACTTCCTTTATGTATTGGCAAATTTCAGTTTAAGATTGCTTACTTTAATTATCCTTTCTCTCCATCCCAACATCTAGTTAACCAGAGACTCATAAATATACACTTGTCTAGTCACCTGTGGCAAGTAAGCATTTCAAAGAGAAAACCAGACAGTTATAATTTAATTTTTGTAATGTAGAAGAGACAGGGGGAGGAACATTAATGTTTACCTGAACAAATGAGTTAATAATTATTATTTTGAGCTTGTAACTTTTGCAGACATATTCGCAGGACTGCTTACTCCTGAGTAAAATATGTCTTTGTAAGAGTCTGCGAATATTCATTATTTCATGTACAAATCAACAGCTTCAATAATAGGTATCTGGATATACAATGTGCCATTCAAATGTTTTCAAATTCATTGTTTGAAAATACATATCAGAATAAATTGATGTGTTATGGCACATAAAATTTTATTTCTGTGACTTGTGTTTTAGAAAATTTATTGTATTCCATTAACAAGGCTTAAGGAGGACTAGGGTGACAAAATGAAGGCCATCACTGACCCTTCCATCCAAAAACACATTTACTTAAGAATTTCAGTGTTGTTCACTTTGGAGTGTAGGCAAAATCTGCCATATTTTGGTATGTTTCATAAAGCAGTCAATATGCTAGAAACAAGATAAACAAATTAACATATAAAGTGTATAAAGTCAAGTCTTAAGGATTTAGCATCTCCCAGCATGAACTTCTAGGGCACAGCTGCATAAAATAATTTATTGTGTATGCACTGTACAAGCAGTACCAGAAACCAACCCCTGTAGCACGTAAAAGGGCTTGAGTCTGAACTGAGTGCGACCGTCCCTATTTGCAAAACACACCCACCCGCCAAGGAAAGGCTGCTGCTGCTGCTGCTGCTGGCCTTGGTTCTAGGCTTCTCCCGCTCCCTCCTCCTTCACCATGAAGTGGTTTGGGTGGCTTTTTGGGTGGAGAATGTCAGCGCCTCACCCGGGCAGTTGCAAAGCGCGGATTTGGGAATTTGCACCGTGAAGCACATTTGAAGCCATTAGGTCCCCCCCCCTTCTCCCTCCCCCAGCCACGTATTTTGTTTCCACCCCGAAACCCAAACCCAGCCCCCTCTCATAAAGCCCTGGCAAGCAGGCGAGTCGCTGAGCGGCATTAGCAGAGCAAGGCCGTACAAGGAACGAAGGCAGGACCAGGCGGGGAGAGGCGGGGAAGGGGGTGCCTGGCCAGACGCCCCCCACCCGCCGCCGCACGGCCCTCTCGGGACCCCCCTCCCCTCCCGGAGGAAGCCGAGCCTGGACGGAGACACCGCGGGGCCCCTCCCCCCCTCGCGGGCAGGCGCGCACGCGGAGAGGCAGCCGCCGCCCCTCACTCACCGATGAGGCGCCGCACCTCCTCCTGGCTCATGTAGACGCTCAGGCCGGGCCCGGGAAGGGGCGCCTCGACGGACCCCCCCGGAGCCTCGGAGGCCGCCGCCGCCGCCGACAGCAGGAGGAGGAGGAGGAGGAAGGGGCGGAGGCGGCAGGGCAGCCTCGCCTCAGCCGCGCCGCAGCTTCCATCCCCCCGGCCGCCCCGCACCATCGCTCGCTTCCCGGCTCCCTCGGCGGGGCGGGGAGGGAACCCGGCGCCCCTCCCCACCCGCGAGCCCCTCACACTCGGCGGCGGCCGCTCATGCTCCGGCCGCGGCGCGCGCCCGCGCTCTCAGGGCCGGGAGTCATGGAGCAGCCTCTTTTTCCCTTCTCTCTCTCTCTCTTTTTCCCTCCGTGCGCGCGCGCGCCCCCCTTTTTCCGCCCGCCCCTCCGGCGGAGCCGAGTCAGGCGAGCGAGCGAGGCCTATCCCCCCAGTCCATTGCGCGTGCGCGCAGCGCCGGCGGACGCGGCAGCCCGCCTCTCTTTCCTCCCGCGCTTGCGCAAAAGGGCCCACAAGGGGCAGGCAGGCGGGCTCCTGCGAGCTAGAGGTGGGGTTTGGGGTTTTTTTTGACCACCGCGCCCCCTCCCTTCTGTATACCGTGACGTCCCATTTCACTGAACGCTGAGATTCACCTCCCCGAGATGGGATCCTGGGCGCAATTTCCCCAGGAGTAAGTAAACGCATATTGGATCGTGCTGTTTACCTCTCTGGTAAGAGTGAGAGCAACTCAGCTGCAAAGCTGATTTTAAAAATTCCTGCGAAGGAACCTGCTCTGTGTAGGAGCAGGGCGGCCTGCACAGTGTCATCGCCGATTTCTGACGTTGCGAAGGGTCGTTTTGCATATATATTAAGTGCTGATTGAATTGTCACTGGCTGCACTTTGGCATTTCATTGCTGTTAACTGGAGAATGACACTCCGTGCACCTAATGCAGTGAGTTCTGGTTCACCGAAAAATGTTATACCATGATAAAATTCGTTAGTCTTTAAGGTGCCGCGGCAAGAGACTTGTTTTTGTTGTTTTTTTTAATTTTAAAAATATTTTTATTGCTTTTTTCCAGATACAAGTATACAGTCAGCATAAGAAAATAACAGTAATAGAAAAAGAAAAGAGAAAAAGAAAGAAAAAAACAACAAAAGAAAACCATCTTTCCAGAATGTTTTCTCATAACCAACTGGACTTCCCCACATCTCCCTCACCCTGCATTCTTTATAATAAAGATATCAGCAAATTATTACCTTGTTTCATGCATTCCTTTGTACTTTCAAATAGTTATACTTTATGTTTAAGATACTTATTATCTGATTACTTTACCTTAAAATAAATATGATGTTACTTTAAACATTAGTCCTTTCATAATTATAACTTAGTTTCCATATCACCGAATCTTGTTGCTGAAGCTAAATTTTCTAAGTCATGCAAACTCTTAACATTCATATAAATTATAATATTTTTGTAGATAGTCTTTGAATTTTTTCCAATCCTCTTCAATTGTTTCTTCTCCCAAATCTCGGATTCTGCCAGTCATTTCGGCCAATTCCAAACTTGTTTTTGTTCTACACCGTTATGTATGACAGAACCAATGTTTGTATAAAACAACAAAAAGAAAGAAATATGAAAAGAACAACATGTCTGCCAAATAAAATAAAGTGTCAGTAAACATAAACTGAGTTCTATTGTCATCATTCTCATTATTGGAGGTAGCCCCGCCATTTTGCTTTTGGGGGTGCTGGTGGCCTAGGGAGACTGGGATTTATTAATATAATGAATGGAAACCATGTAACATCAAAATCATCCCATTTTGCTTTACCCTCAATGACTCGCCTTTGTTGGAGCCAATGTCCAGATAACGCTATGTCCCGAATTGGGTTGTATCATCCCACCTTTGTGGGCACAGAACCCCCCCCCCCATGACTAGCTAGTTCCAGCCACACTGCAGCCAGTAGCATTATTACTAGCACTTCCAGCCAGGAAGAGTGCTAGAATCAGATCTAACTATAGCCGCAATCAACTCTCACATATATTTGTGGCACCAGGAAATAAATAAATACATTCAACTCCTGCAGATAGAGCTGGAGAGTCCTAGTGGCTTGCAAGGAGACTGTCCCTGGAGCCCAAAGAGGGCATCAGTGAGGGCAGAGGAAACCCTGAAGAGACTGGAGGCACAGCGTGGCTTTGCTTAGGCTGCTCAGCCTCCTTGCCTAACAGCTGACGTGTGGGGTAGCACAGCAGCCGCAGCTTTCCAGACGGCCTCAGAGCTACATTCTAGTTGTGGATATTTTTGGATACAGTGTTTTTGGTCTGGATTGCAGACAGGGCATTTAAAGGGTGCTCCCCCATATACATGGGAGGACGCCTGGAGAGGTTTTGGCTGGTCATTTTGCCTAGTTCAAAAAACGCCTTCCAAAATTTTTGATGTTTCATTGCTAATTTTAAAAGGACTAAACTGCTGTTTAAAATAGTTATTGTTTTTGCCGTTTTTGCCTGCTGCCTCATCAGAGCATTTATTCCACAATATAAATGTTTTAGCGATAATAAAGCAAAATAAAGGATTGTGTTTTCAGCCACTGCCACACAGGACTGGTTGCATTTTCCTGAATCAGGCCCACTTTATGGTTGCAACAGCGACTTAGCAGTGTATTAAAAGCTCATATTTGGTCAGGTTTCTACTGATCTAATTTATACAATCTACTTTCTCTTAGCAAATTGTCTTTAATGAGCTAGGTGGGCAAGGCAGCTTTCATCAGAGGACAGCCATGCTCTGAACACCTCGGCGCAGAGGGTTATTTATTTATTTATTCAGTAAGCCTGTTTGTTCCCAGAATTTTTTCCAGGATGGATGTGGTGTAGAAAAACTCAAGCATTCAGGCAGTTAGTATTTCACACAGAGCAGATTCTGGAGAAAGCATTCTAGGAACATTAAGAACATTAATTGAAGGCTATAACTGTTACTGCAACTGAATTAAATAAGCAGATGCATGTGGTCTGAAGCTGGAAAAGAGCAGAGCATCTGCACATTATTACAGCCTGTGGTCGGGAGCCTACATACCATTCTTTTGTTTGCCTTATAAGGGGAGCGGTGTGTGGTGTAATGGTGCTAAGCATGAAAGGGCTTTTCCTCTGGGATTTTACATGTGGCCATTGCCTATGCGCCTATTTCTGTATGTGTCTGGAATGTTGGCCAGGCTGCAGGGTAGTCTGAATATTAATTCATCTTACATTTCTGAAGCATTTTCATGGTAAATAGATGACAAAGCCATTGATTGTCCCGACTGCTAGCTGAGCATTACGTTTCCAATTACACACATGATTCTGTTTTATGTTTAGCAGACTAGAGCATAATTCGGTGGAAAAGATAAAATGTCTCTTTCTCCCCTGCTCCTTGTCCTCCTCCCTCAAAGGAAAAATGTCAACATTGCAGACCAGCAGTGCCCTCCGGCATGCTTAGTTCTGCAGCTCAAAATTTGACATGCTCAAAGGCAGGCATAGATTTACATGCCTCCTTTCCTCATATGATTGCTAAAAGGGCATTGCTATATCGAGGAGACAGTGAATATGCTATACTTGTATCTTGTTCATCCTTCAAGGAGATATGAGTGGCATTTTAGTTTCACAACAACCCTGTGAGGTTGCCATATGTTCTCTTTTCCAGAACACAGTCTTTTTCTCATGGGTATGTAAAATGAGTGTTGTCATAGTGATCCGTAGTTAAAAGTAGAACTTGGCAAATGTGTCCTCTTTTTTGCTCTTCAAAATATGGCAGCCCCAGAACTTCAGTGAACATCAGTGTCATGTCTTGGGCTATCTATCTATCTATCTATCTATCTATCTATCTATCTATCATCTATCTATCTATCATCTATCTATCATCTATCTATCATCTATCTATCATCTATCATCTATCTATCTATCTATCATCTATCTATCTATCTATCATCTATCTATCTATCTATCTATCTATCTATCTATCTATCATCTATCTATATCTATCTATCATCTATCTATCTATCTATCTATCTATCTATCTATCTATCTATCTATCTATCTATCATCTATCTATCTATCTATCTATCTATCTATCTATGTATCTAAGCCAATGCACAAGTCACTGTACCTCAAGTCACTGGCTGTCAGTTGTCACTGCTCATCTGTTTCATAATGCAGAAGAGTTGTTAAGCAGGTGTGCTAATAGTGGTGCATGTAGCACATCGGGAATTTGTGTGGAACTCCAGTGCCTGTAAGCAGAGTGGCAAGTATTTTTGCTGCCATGTAATGTGCCATGTAAAAAAGGAGGTAGAGGTGGGAAAGAAACCAGTATGTATGAGCAGTAGTCAACAAAATAGTTTCACTACTGCAAACATTAGCACTAGCACTGTGGGATTCCCCACCCCTGCACACACACTACACCTGTGGTTCCCATCCGGTGGTCCACAAACCCCAGGCCGTCTGTGTAAACCCACCCAGGGGGTCCGTGGCACATACTCATCAACTGTCCAGGATATCCCATTGGGGGGGGGGGCTGTGCTCTTGCATGGGTCATGTGGCTCACACGGGAGCATGGCCTGGAAAACACACGTCCCAGTTTTGCATTGCGACATGTTGAAGGGTATGGTGGCACCATTCACATAACAAAAACTACCACAGAGATATCAGTGTTTTCAAAAGAAGGGGTTCCATGGCCTGGCTTTTCAAAAAAATGGGTTTGCAGTACTTAGCCCATGGGGAACCACTGCTCTGTTCCATTCCTACATCTGCTCCGGAGGTTTATGGGGAAACCCAGAACAGATTTAGGGGTCACACAGGGAAAGCAGAGGGAGATATCATTTGATTGCACAGGGAGAATTCCTTGTGCTGACAGAACAATCCGCTCAACACTGCATTGAATACAAGCCTGTATGTCACAAGGCCTCACCTTGGCCGGAGTATTAATCCTGCTGACCATACATGGATGGTGGAAAGGAGACCAACACACTCCATTCAGATGTTACAAAGACATGGGTTTTGTTTTCCCGTTTCTTATTATTTGCTTTTTTAAGATGGGAACAAGAAAGTTGTGGAAAGCAGCTCCTCGGCTGTAACCCACATTACAGCTCTAATATGCTTAAAACAGAAATTGGCAAACATATGCTCTTGCATTACATTCAAAACAGTGAAAACATAAAGCTGACATGTTCTGTCTCATCAACAAACAGGCTCTCTCCTTAACAGTCATGTGTCCTGCTGCCACATCAAACAAGAAGGTGCGTGTGTCTTGTAATATTTGGTGTCAGCACATCCTGCCACAGGGGAAGCGGGGAGAGGCAGCAGGGAGGGGGAATTGCAATATTCATCCAAAGTCTGGGAAAATTTGCCTTGTGAAACTGTGGAGGAAATGGCAATTTTCTCATTGTCTTGACACCCTGACCCAACAAGGGGGATCTGCATGCATTCCAGCTTCTGCAGGCAGGTTCGCTTTCTGGGTTCAGAGAACCGTACACATATAATAACATTTCCTCCAAGTACTGGAACCAGAAGCGGTGGAGCACAGTGAGGTAAGTTAGGGAAATGACTGGGCTTCGCTCCCATTCTCCATACACTATTTTTGGAGTTAAAAAATTAGCTGTCTCAGCCCCACTTTATAGCTGAACTAGCATATTTTTTAGTAATAAACTCAACACATGACTGGTTTGGTTCTGCAGGTCCCACCAGCTGTGATCTCCACCCATATGGCAATCTGTAGGTTTCAATACACTTTCTCATCCAGCCCATAATTTACATGTGGATGCACATCTTCAGCTGCTGTCTTGGGCCACTAGCCCTGCTTACCTTGGTGTATCGTGGGTGACTACCTGCAGACAAGGATCAGAGTGTTTCTCTATGTGTGTATATAATTAAAAGTATATCTTCAGTATATTATCAGTTAAATAATTTATAAATCAATTTTAAATGATATATTGAGTTGTTCCTGTCTTTAAAATAGGAAACAAACTTCCAGAGCTACTGTCCCACTCATTTCATGCCTGGCATTTTGCAGTTTGCATCCAACTGAAAATCATAACTGCACTGCCACCTGCTGTTTTAACAGGGGGTTAAAAATTTAAAGCACTACTATCACATACA